TAGAGTGCTATTCTTGAATACAAAAACTCAAGGACAGCACCCAGGACAGCATTCAAGCCCTAAAACACAGACACACAGACACAGACACAGACACACACACACACACACACACACACACACACACACACAGAAAAAACACAGAAAGAAAAATAAATGATCAAACACTTTGAGCATATACATTTAGTGAAAACAAGCAGGATATAAAATGTTATAGAAAGCCAGATGCCTGTGGCTCATACCTATAATCCTAGCTACTTAGAAGGCTAAGATCTGAGGCTCACCGTCAAAGCCAGCCCGGGCAGGAAAGTAGTCTGTGAAACTCTTATCTTCAATTAACCACCAGAAAACTGGAAGTTGTGCTGTGGCTCAAGTGGTAATGCACTTGCTTTGAGCTGAAGAGCTCAGGGACAGCGCTCAAGCCCAGAGTTCAAGCCCCATGACCAACAAGAAAAAAAAATGTTACAGAAGACAATTAGGGGGCTGGGAATGTGGCTTAGTGGTAGAGTGATTGCCTAGCATGCATGAAGCCCTGGGTTTGATTACTCAGTACCACATAAATAGAAAAAGCTGGAAGTGGTGCTATGGCTCAAGTGCTATAGTGCTAGCCCTGAGCAAAAGCTGCTCAGGGGCAGTCCCCAGGCTCTGAGGAGTTCAAGCCCCAAGACTGGCAAACACACACACACACACGCGTGCGCGCGCGACAATAAATCTCAATTTTTTTTTTTTGGTCTGGTCGTGAGGCCTGAACTCTGGGCCTGGGCGCTGTCCTTCAGCTCTTCAGCTTAAGGCTAGCACTCTACCACTTGAGCCACAGCGCCACTGCTGGCTTTTTTTCTTTTTGCTTATGTGGTGCTGAGGAATCGAATCCAGGGCCTCATGCATGCAAGTCAAGTGCTCTACCACAGAGCCACCTTCCTAGCCCCAATATATGTCAATTTTGTTACCAATATTAAATAGAATAAACCAACCTAATCTAATCTCTGGTGAAGAGAATTATGGGTAATTTGTTTTTGTGGTTACGTTTCAACATTTTATAAGTGTATTTGTGGTTTTTTTGGGTCAGTCGTGGGGCTTGAACTCTGGGCCTGGGTGCTGTTCCTCAGCTCTTCAGCTGAAGGTCAGTGCTCTATCACTTGAGCCACAGCACCACTTCCAGTTTTCTTGTAGTTAATTGGAGGTAAGAGTTTCATAACTACTTTCCTGCCTGGGCTGGCTTTGAACTGGGAGCCTCAGATCTCAGCCTTCTGAGTAGCTAGGATTACAAGTGTGAGCCACCAGTGCCTGGCAAGAAGTATATATTTTTATTCTATTAATTCCCTTTTTCTTTTCTTTTTTTAAGTCAGTTGTGGCACTTGCAAAGACCTGGGAGCTGTTCCTGAGCTCTTTTGCTCAATGTTAGCTCTCTTACCACTTTGAGCCACAGCTCCACTTCCAGTTTTCTGATGGTTAATTGGAGATAAGCGTCTCATGGACTTCCCTGGGCTGGCTTTGAACCATGATCTTCAGATTTCATCTTTTTGAGTAACTAGTATTATAGGTGTGAGCCACTAGCACCTGGCTATATTCTTTTTAAAAACTACTTGCTGGGCTGGGAAGGTAGCTCAGTTGTAGAGTGCTTGACTTGCATGCATGAGGCCCTGGTTTGGATTCCTCAGCATCACATAAGAAGAAAAAGCCAGAAGTGGCACTGTGGCTCAAGTGGTAGAGCGCTAGCCTTGAGCTGATGAGCTGAGGGACAGCGCCCACTCCCAGAGTTCAGGCCCCACGACTGGCAAAAAAAAAAAAAAAAAAACAACTACTTGCTTAGCCAGGTGCCAATGGCTCACACCTACAATGGCTCCTTACTACTCAGGAGACTGAGATCTGAGGATTGTGGTTCAAAGCCAGCCCAGGCAGGAAAGTCCGTGAGATTCTTATCTAATAAACCACTGGAAGTGGTGCTGTGGCTCAAGTAGTAGAGTGCTCACCTTGAGCTAAAGAGCTCAGTGACAGTGCCTAGGCCCAGAATTCAAGCCCCACCACCAACCAAAACCAAAACAAAAAACCTACTTGGTTAAAATTATAAATCTTCAAAGATACCCCTGAAATGAAATTTTCATTCTTCTATCACCTATTTTACTACACACACACACACACACAGCTTAACACTTTCCTAAATATCTACCAGTTTAGTTATTTGGGGACTTTTTTCAAATACACCTACATCAGTACTGAATCAAACATTCAAAACAACTACCCTAGGCACTTCTTTTTGTTTATCAATATTGGGATTTAAACTTAAGTTTGTTAGTCAAGGTACTCTAGCACTAGATCTACACACCCAGCCACACATAAAGCTTAATTTCATTTATAAATCCAAGTTAAAATCTCAAGTTTAAACTGAGGCAGAAGGTTTCAGCATGTTACTAAAATGATAACATTTGTAACTGTAACCACTGTAACTAGACTAACAGCTAGCTGTTAACAAAAATCTAAAACCATGCACTTGATCATACAATGTTTCCTCAGTGAATCATATCTACACTCTAGAAACAAAGAAGGAACCAAATGTTAACTTCAGGCACATAGTGCATCGAACAATAATCAGTGCACCAGAGTAGAGCATAAATCTTGTTTCTTCTTCCCCCTTTGCCCAACAGGTGTTTTGCTTTGCATTTTTCCTTTAAGTGGTATTTGGTAAAATGGTCCTGAAAGAAACATTTTTCCATGGTGCTGGGCAGGTGGCTCAGTGGCAGAGTGCTTGCCTTGTATGCATGAGGCCCTGGGTTCAATTCCTCAGCACCACATAAGCAGAAAAAGCCAGAAATGGTGCTGTGGCTCAAGTGGTAGAGTGATAGCCTTAAGCTAAAGAGCTAAGGGACAGCACCCAGGACCAGAGTTCAGGCCCCATGATGGACAAAAAATAAAGAAACATTTTTCCTGAATATGATGCATGCTAAGAATGTTCACTGACATTCAACAACTACCAGCATTCAATGACTCTGCAGAAGTTTCCAAGACAAAGTAACAAAATGTCTTACTCATTCCCAAAGGATAAAACCTATTTGAAACAAACAAAAAATTGTACCTTTTCTTAAATAAAATGTTATCTTGAAATAAGTAAGCTTAAATTTTATTTGCCTTGGTCACAAACCTATAATACAATAAAAGCAAAGTCAACCACCTAGTACAGTACAAACTAAGTGCCATCCTAAACCTCCATGCTAGGTACATCTTTTTCTATTAAAAAAAAATAGAAATGTACATCATTGTGAAGAACATAACACTGGCTATTTTAGTGTTTTATGACAAGCGTGTTAATGTGCTGCATTCATATTAAAGGTGGTTATATGGTTGTATGGAAAGATTTAAGTCTTGAAATTTTGTAAATACTTTCAAATTCATGGAGTTTTTTTTATATCATATACTCAAGTTATCTTATAAACAAATTCTCAGAACTGAAGAAAGAATTCAAAGCCATTCTGAAACCAAAAAAATCTAAGACTGCTACCAAATGATGTGTTTATAAGTTTATGAAAATATCAACAAAAATCAACTCCTACCAAGAGTTTTCAAAATAAGAAATGAATCATTTAATTTGTTCACAGTACTAGGGTTTGTTTGAGGCTTTTTTTTAAACTATTTTAAATACAAATCCACTATACTTCTAATGCAAAAAAAGCACACAAATCCTAAGCAGGACTTGTTATTTCTAAAGTATCAACACAAATCCTACTTTATGTCAAGCCAAATCATTCTACCTTTCTCATTTAAACAAAATTTTCATTTGGAAAGTTCTAACAAATCAAATCATAAACTCAATAGCTCTTCTAATCCTTTAAAAGTAATGCAGTTCAATCAAGTCTTAACTGAGACTGGCAAAAAAGGAAAGACTGGCATCTCTACAATGACTTGCATTTTATATAAAATGTAAAAATCTTCAGCAGATATTTGCAAAAAAAAATAATATGCAAGAAAACAGCCCACTCTTGAATATGGGGGAAAAGAAGCAGAAAGTGCTAAGATGAGACTTATCTACACCTTATCACAAAAGGCAAATGCATATTCCAAAGCTTCAGCACCAAAATGCAGATTTCAAAAGATGTTCAGAAATGGTTCATTTCATTTCTTAATAGTGGCAAGCAACTGTACTCATTTCCTGTTGAGATTCAATTCAAATTTCTGCCATTTCCTTTTAAAGGAAACAGTACAGCAACACAGGGTAGAGGGGTCAGCCAAGCTATACTAACAAACACACACCCCTAGCCACCCAGGATTGGGTCTTTACATTCACAATGAGCAATCAGCTTTCTATAGTACTTTTACATGTGCAATAATTTGGTTTCAGAAAAGAATTACCTGTAAACTAAAGAAGCACTAATGGCCAAGACAGCTCATTTTGAAAAGTCATAGCCTAGCATTAATTTCAAATGTCTTAATGTACCAAGCAATATGAGACTACCTACAACGAAATCGAAATCATTTCAGTGGAATCTTTCCTGTGCAAGCTCATGTCACTCTGTCCTCAGTAATTACCCTGATGTAGTAAGGGCTACTGTATTAAAAGAGAAAATATACAGGTAGCAATGCAGCTGCGACATTTTCAGACAATTAAACCTCCCGGAGGGTAGGTGGTTTCAGGAAGGCCCAGGCCCTAAACGTCCGAGATCCTTCAACCCTTTTCCCGGGCGCGTGCTTAGGCTAAAACAGCCATCTCCCAAAGGGAAGGGGGGGGGTGTAAAACCAAGAGGATCCAAAAGGGGAGGGAAACAGGGAGGGGGGTGAGGGGAGGGGTGCTCAAAGTACGTTCGGTGGCCTGGACTTAGAGCTAGCAGAGGAAAACAGAGACCCACTGCAGAGACGAGTTTGTAGGGCCTGCTGGAGAGAAGAAGGCCTCGCCTAGGAGTTGCAACACACTCTTTTCTCCAGTGCGCAGCGCTCAGCCTGGGGGAGGGGGAGGAGGGGGGGAACAGCTGCCAGGGGAGCAGCGGGCCCAGCCCGGCCCGGCCCGACCCGCTCACCGTGAGGGTGTCGTCTATGTAGAGGGGAATCTGCCTCCTCTCGAAGAGGAACTCCTCCTCTCCGTCCCTGCACACTGCCACCAGTCGCGCCATCGTCCCCGACGCTGCCGTTGCCACCGTCACCACCTCCTCCCAGCTGCCGCCGCCGCCGCCGCTGCTGCTGTCGCTGCCGCTGCTGCCGCCGCCGCTGCTCCAGCCGCTGCCGCCTCCTCCCAGCTACTGCCTGCAACAGCCAAACCCCGCGAGCGTAAGCACCCGCCGCCGCGCCGCACATTCGCCACGGGGAGGGGGGAGGGAGGGCGGCGGAGCCGGGGAGGACTGGAGCGCCGCGCGGCGTTTCCCATCACCCGATTCCACACAGGCTCAGCCAATCAGAGCCGAGCACTGCCGAGACCCGCCCCCTCGCGCCGCTCCTCCTTCCCCCCCCCTCGCCGCACATCCTCCCGCCCCCCCCTCCCCGAACACCACTAACTACCCCCCTCCCCGCCCGCCGCCCGCCGCCCTCCAGTCAGGGTCCAAAGGAGAGGCGGAAAGGACCCGCCGACCCCGGGGTTTCCTCGCCGTCACGGGAGTCCCAGCTCCAGAGCCCCACCCACGGGCTCGGGTCCACCGCCCACTCCCCACTTCACGCCGCCGCCCGGATGACCCCGGCCCACAGCTGACCCCTTCCCCTCTCCTCGGCGCGCCCCGCCCAGTTGGTCCCCTAGACTGCAGTTGCCCAGCGCGACCCCGCCCCTGGGAGGGGTCGACCCCGCCTCAGCTCTGCGGAGTCCCGGGGTGGGGGCAAGCTCAGACCCGTTCCTCACCCTTGTTGGCGGAGGGCTGTCGGTTCTGACCTTCGCCGTTTTCACGGTCGCTTCCCTGACCCCCACCTCTGCTCCCCGTTACCGGCTGACGAGGCCCGCGTCAGGGCCAGCCTGGGCGGGAGCGCGGCTCCGAATGCCGTTTCCTCTCCCGGATCTGCCAGCCGCTCGCGCCACAGGGAGTGGGGGAGGGAGGGCGGGGGACATGGGGAGGGCGGGGCAGGGAGGGGCCCACGGCTCCGGGCGGGGCCCCGCCTCTTCTCGCGAGACTGCGGCTCTCCCTTTTTTTTTTTTTTTTTTTGCTTGAGTCCAGGCTTGCGAAATGTTTAGTGGAGTTGGTCGGGTGTTCCTAGGCCTCTGCTGCCTGACCCGTGCCCTCCCGGGACTCTAGTCAAGTCAAATAAGCACCAAGTCAGGCCGGTAGGAGGACGAAATAAGACTTAACCTCAGTCCTCCATCCGTGCCGGGCCGGTGAACAGCACCTAGCTAAGCTGACTCCAGGCCGCCCCAGGGAAAACTGGGTAAGTGGTGAGGACTGAACGAAGCTCCCAGAGAAGCCAGGTGAGGGAAGAAAGCAGCAAACGCGGGTTGAGACAAACTGGCCTTGGCTTCCAGGTACTTGACACCACTTAGTCCGCCTTCTACATCTGGAAGATCGGAGGAGGAAAGGGCCCTGCCACCCTGATTCACCGCTTGCCAGCCACATTACTACTTCCCAATCTGACACTGCGTGGAGATCCCGCTGGTGGGGGCGGGGGGGGGAGGAGAAAACGCTTATGGGCTGACAAGTTTTTTTTTTTCTTGCTGTAACTGAGGCAAATGGAAAACTGGACTGTGACTTACCTGCATATTCTTGCCAAAGGAACTTCATGGGCTGAGTTAATATTAACTTAGAGACTGCCTTGGGCAAAGTACTAATAGTGGCCAAAGGCCCTTCCCCCTGACCCTGTCCTCAGTAAGTACCACATTTGCAGTAAAGCCAATTTCCTCTACAGTGCCTGCTGCCACGTACTCCAGTCTGACCCTGAAAATTTTAGAGGCCTGTTGGAAAGCCAGAATATTGTTTGAAAGTCTTTTGCCTATGAACGACTTCATAATTTTAAGGATGCATTCACTGCTCTATCAACTGCCTAATCTGAAGGACAACTCTATACCTGGAGCTATACTAGATTCTACCAGATTCTGCCCTGGTAGAATAGACTAGAGCTGTTACTGACCTTTAAAACATATTTTGGTCACATGAAGTTTTACAAATTCACAACAACAAAAAAAGAACATGGTGCATTCTTAGCCTTGTTGGCTTATGACATTGTTTGGTCACTGTTAGGGTAAGTGACATAATAAACTGGAAGAACCATTGTTCAGTCCCAAAGGTGTGCTCAGTTAAGTATTTATGTATTTTGGCCACGTTAAAAGAAAAAATGTGATCATTAGCTTCAATATCTAAAATGTGCATGCAGCTTTTTGGAAGGTTGGAGTACATAATAAAAGTGACATCTTTACAGAGTCTCCTGTTTTATGTAAAAACACAAAAAAATACTGTGGCTTTTAAGGTCAAGTTTTTGTTTTTTTGGAAGGGGCTTTTTTTTTTTCTTTTTCCACCAATATTGGGGCTTGAACTCAATTGAGGCCTGGGCACTGTCCTGAGATTCTTTTACTCAAAGCTGGCACTCTACCACTTGAGACACAGCTACGCTCCCAGCTTTTTTGGTCATTTATTAGAGATAAGAGTCTCAGACTTTCTTGCCCAGGCTAGCTACTGCAGGCAGGATATCAGATCTCAGCCTTCTGAGTAGCTAGGATTATAGACATGAGCCCAGCTAAGGTCATGTATTTTTATTTTTTATTTATATATACTTTTTGGGTCCGGTCGTGGGGCATGAACTCTGGGCCTGGGCGCTGTCCCTCAGCTCTTCAGCTCAAGGCTAGCACTCTACCACTTGAGCCACAGCGCCACTTCTGGCTTTTTTCTTTTTGCTTATGTGGTGCTGAGGAATCAAACCCAGGGCCTCATGCATGCAAGGCAAGCGCTCTACCACTGAGCTACCTTCCCAGCCCCAAGGTCAAGTATTTTTATAAAAACCTGAATTAATGAACCTCCTTTAAGCATTTGTTTGGTAAAGAACACTGAGTGTGCCTGTAATCTTAGCTACTCATGAGGCTGAGATATGAGGGTCAAGGTTCAAAGCCAACCTAGGCAGGAAAGTCAATGAGACTCTATCTTAACCACCAGAAAACCGGAAGTGGAGCTTTGGCTCAAGTGGTAGAGTACTAGCCTTGAGCTGAAGAGCTCAGGGACAGCGCCCAGGCTCAGAGCTCAAACCCCACAACCGACCAAATAAGCAAAAAACAACAACAAAAACCACTGAGTGTGACAAGCTCAATAATACATAGATGCAAATTTTAATTACTTCAATTACAGAACCACATACCAGGTCTTAAAATACTAGCTGATTTGAATACCTTCTGCTGTATTCACAACCTTCATGACCCCAGCTTTTGATGTAGCAGTAATTAAGTAGCAGAATGTTAAATTACCAGTTTTCAAATCTGAAAATCTGTAAACTGAGTTTTTGTTTTCAGAAACTGACCATGGGAAGTTCTGTTTTATGGGTTAAAAGTAGAAACAGCTTTTTCTTACCTATTTTTATTTATTTTTGGTCCCTGTCCTGGGGCTTGAACTCAAGGCCTGGATACTGTCCCTGAGCTTTTTGCTCAAAACTTAGTGTGTAACCATTTGAGCCACAGCTCCACTTCTAGCTTTTGGGGGTCATAAATTGGAGATAAAGAGTGTCACACTTCTTGCAGGGCTGGCTTTGAATAGCAATGCTCAGATTTCAGGCTGAGTAGCTAGGGTTAAAGGCATGAGCCACCACTATTGGCTCACACCTACCCTTTTTTTTTTTTTTGTCAGTCATGGGGCTTGAACTCTGGGCCTGGGCACTGTCCCTCAGCATTTCAGCTCAAGGCTAGTGCTCTACCACTTGAGCCACAGGGCCCACTCCCGGCTTTTTCTGTTTATATAGTGCTGAGGAATAGAACCCAGGGCCTCTTGCAGCACTCTACCACTGAGCCAGCCCCTCACCTACCCATTTTGAAAGGAAATATCCACAAGTTGATATTTAAGCTCCTTATGGATTTAAGTCCATAAAGGCTGTGTCTTTAGGGGCTGGGAAGGTGGCTCAGTGGTAGAGCGCTTGCCTTGCATGCCTGAGGCCCTGGGTTTGATTCCTCAGCACCACATAAGCAAAAAGAAAAAAGCCAGAAGTGGCGCTGTGGCTCAAGTGGTAGAGTGCTAGCCTTGAGCTGAAGAGCTGAGGGACAGCGCCCAGGCCCAGAGTTCAGGCCCCATGACCGGACCCCCCCCCCCCAAAAAAAAAAAAAAAAAAAAGGCTGTGTCTTTATGTTCCCAATACTTACATACATTAGAGCTCAGTAGAGTTGATAGCTCAATATATATATATATATATATATATATATATGTACTGTATATATATATATATGTACTATATACATATACAGTACATGTGTGTGTGTGTGTGTGTGTGTGTGTACTGGCTCTAGGCTTGACATCAGGTCCTGGGTACTGTCCCTGATTTTTTGTGCTCAAGGCTAGAGCTCTACCACTTGAGCCACAGCTCCACTTCCAGCTTTCTGGTGGTTAATGGGAAATAAGAGTTTCATAGACTCCTGCCTAGGCTGGCTATGAACCTCAATCTTCAGATCTCAGCCTCCTAAGTAGCTAGAATTAGAGATATGAATCACAGGCTCCTGGCTTATATTTAAGTTAACTTACATTAAAAATAAATTTGGGAGTTTGAGCCACACCTCCACTTCTGGCTTTTTCAAGTTAACTGGAGATAAGAATCTCATGGATTTGTCTGCCTGGGATCTGCTGGACCTTGGTCCTCAGATCAAGGTGCTTAGCACCTAGAATTACAGGTGTGAGCTACAAATGTCCAGCTCACTATGGTATATTAAGCCTTAATATAGCCATAGTTTTATTAAACTAATGATGACTTCTTTGATGACTTCTTAATATAGCCAGTTTATTAAATTAAGTATAGCCTTAATAGCGCCAGTTTTATTAAACTAATGAAAAGTACTTGATGACTTTATTTCTTGGTGATTCCTAAAAATAAACGAGGCACACCCTGCCTAGCTCTCCAGCTTAACCCCATATTCTTCCATTCTTCCATTTTCCTGAGTTTCAGCCTTCTTTCAGTTGTAGAATATACTAGCTTCTTTTCCAACTTGGGACTTTTGCCGAGATTCATCTGACTTAGAATACTGTTATTCCTCTCCCGTCCTCTATACACACATACATTCACCCTATCCATCAGATTATTACGTATGGGGAAATTTTTTGAGTTTTGATTAGATAAGACTTAGTTTAGCACTCATGACATGTCTTTCATCATGACTTAACAGTCTATAATAGTTCGATGACTACCCTCTAGATTACAAGTTCTCCAAGAAATACTAAGAAATGTGTGGGGTTTGTTTGGATTTTGTTTAGAAAAAGTCTATCAAGGGCTGGGAATGTGGCTTAGTGGTAGAGTGCTTGCCTAGCATGCATAAAGCCCTGGGTTTGATTCCTCAGTACCACAAAACAGAAAAAGCCAGAAGTGGCTCTGTGGCTCAAGTGGTAGAGTGCTAGCCTTGAGCACAGAGAGGCTTAGGGTTCAAGCCCCAGGACTGGGAAAACAAACAAACAACAACAAGAAAAAAGAAAGTCAAGTAGTAAAATAGAGTGGATTACCCTGGAATTTGATGGTTTTCCTGTCTCAGCTTCCCAAGTGAAAGGAGAGTCCAGGCATGCACCACTATGCCTTGCTGTGCTTTATCATTCTACCCCCAGATTGGAATAGGCTAAATAAATATCAAAGCAAAAATTTTATTGTCTCAAGATTAAAAATATAATGTATCTAAAAAAACTTTTGTCTTAATTAACTAATCCAATTCAGTGGGGTTTTCTAATTAAATTTTATTATAATAAAGATGGAATACAAAGGGGTTACAGTTACGTAAGTCAGGTAGAATACATTTCTTTTAGGACAATGTCACCCCTTCCTTTGCTCTCCAGTTTTCCCCTCCCATCCCTACCCAAGTTCATTTTAAACATGTCTAGTGAGTACCACTGCTGCATTTGTTCACCCTTTGTCCCTCCATTTGCAAGGCGTTC